ACTAAATATTTAATTTGTAAGTTAAATGTTTAGTTCATAAACTATGACATTTATAAATGTATGAATCATATGGTGAAAAACTGACTATGAAAAAATAAATCTGTTCTTTTTTTCTTATAAAAGGCTAAATAAAACAAAAACAGTGGTAATTTTTGACTGTGTAGCTTTACAAATGGCACCCCATAGAATTAGTGCCACTCTTACACCTCTGAGGATCTTGAATCAAAACTGAAAGTTGGCCGGTCRAATTAATTCCTTCAATGGATGTTGGGCTTTTAATTACTCCTTTTTATTGGTGCATGTTTGTGGCTTTAGCTGCCCGCTCTATGATAATGAGCAATGCATCAGACTGCCTGTCTAACAACAGGTAGACAGGCTCATGTTGCCWACCCAGTGCAGCGTTGTCATGGGAATAATGTGTAGACCTCTCTTCCTGTGCTGAAGTGAACCACTGGGTTGTGCTCGACTGCCCACCTGCCAAACAGCACTCTCGCGCGCACACACACACACACACACACACACACACGCGGATTCTTGTGCACACATGTGTAACAGCAGCATTGTGGTGCCAGCAGAGTGGATGAATCAGCTCTTCAGCGTCTCAGAGAGGAAGAGGTGGACGTTTGGTTTGTCTTGGTTGATCTAGTCACTTGGAGCGAGCAACAGTGAATCACTCCTGCCTGCTTTTTTAAATTAGCAATTGAAGGCTACAAATGACTCACATCATTTGCATCACTGCTTTCTATTTCAACGCTAATGTGTTGTCTGGTGACCAGCGGCCTACTCCAGCACCCATCATAATTTAGTCCTGYTTTATTTTTATTTATTTATTACTTTTTTTCATACAACATCCATCTTTCACTCACTGTCTTTGTCTTGCTTTCTCAACCCGTCCACCTACTCGTCTATTGCTCTCCTGTCTTCCAGCCCCCACGTCTGTCTGCTGCCATGTTCCCATGCTTCCTATTAGGGCAGCAAATGAGGCGAGGTGCCGATGCAAATGTCTCGTACCTCTTGTTGCTCCCTGACTCATCGCCCGGAGAGCAAAACAGAGAGAGAGAGAGAGAGAGAGACAGCTATAAGGGAGGGATGGGAGGAAGAGGTGTGGGAGCACAGCAATTAGAGAAACAGATGTACTTGAAATGTTCAGGAGAATGTTGCACAACGAAAAAATGTTGAAGGAAGCCACTGTATTGTGAAGGCAGAGTTGATTGTGCTGAAAGCTTTCTCCTAYGTAGCAGAACAACAAAGAGTGCAAAATAAAAAAACAGTGCATTTTGCATTCTTTTTTCTGCTCTTCATCCTCCTCGCCACTGTTTTATCAGCCCAATTTCTGCAGCTCTGAGGAACCGTTCCTTTTCCCTGCCTTCTGCCTCGTCTATAGGTGCCGTGATTGTTTTGTAGATTGCATTATAAAAGTGCTTGACATCGTGAGCCAATCTGTTGAAAGCACAGTTTGTTTTTCATTTCTACCCGAGTTCTATTGTTCTGTGCTCAGAGCTAGAAAAKATTATYGTTATWGTTACAGCTGTGCTTCTCTCTGGTTCAGCTTGTGATGGAGACGAACGGGTTAAAGTCATCAGTGAATGTGAGGCGTAAGTTGAGTTGTCATCATTAGGATTTATCTGTTACTTTCCTTATCAGCAGGATTAGGAAAATGAGGAAACGAGTTGCTATCACAGGAGTACGAGTCTTCATCCATTATCTTTACCCAGCTTTTCCTTTCTGGGTCACCGAGGTCATCGGTGCCCATGACCAGCAGTTACTGAGCAGGAGGCCGGGTACGCCCTTAAATTAACTTTCAGTTAAAACTAAAAACATATTTACCTAGAAGAACTGCTCTTTCTGCAAAAACAACTTTGCTGAAGTAGCTGGAATTAAGTAAAAAGCTAAAAGAGTAAAACTCTGAAGGCTAGCTAAGCACTAAATCAAAACAAAAGCTAAAGCTAAACAGAGACAACTACTAGCTAAAAAGTAAATGCAACAAAACGCAAAAGTAGCCTACCACAGTTATTCCAAACACGTCAAACTTTAGCTCATCATCTATAAAACTGACTGAGTTGTATTTTTGTGGGCTCATGTGAACAAATAGTCTCCATCTGAATAAAGACTGACTTTAAAGTCCCTGTGATGTGTATATCCTTCAAATACAAAAAGTCAAAGAAAACATCTTTATATTAAAAAAACTTTGCATAGTACACGTTTTTACCCATTTTATCACATAAYTGGAATATTTTTCTTTTAAACTGGCTCAATGTGAAACAGGAAGTGACATCAAAGGGGAACTCTAAGAAAATAAACTTCTTGATATTTGAAACAAATTTGAACTCTAACTCAAGTAAATAAAAAAATTAAAAAAAATAAATAAATAAATTCTACTGAAATACTGAATAACTGATCATAACATCTGATTTAATATTTTAAAATTATGTCATCAGATTGACAAAAAACAGCAAGTTATGTGCAAGTTCTGGTGATTTTAAAGACTAAAATGAAGAAAATTAATCCAAATCAATAATGTAATTACAAAATAAATTAGCAAAAACCCATTTGTTGCAAGTCATATTTATCTCATTATGAATCTAATACTTACAGTAGGTTTATCTGTAGGATTGTGTCTCTGGTGCATTTCTGTTTGTTCTTCATTCAGTAAAGTTACGATGTAGTAAGAGTAGCAATACTTCATAACAACTTGTGACTACTACTACTTATGACAGGGACGTTTTTACTTGACCTATTACTTAGGTCAAGTAAAAAGTACTGTGTTGTAAAACTATGAAAGGTTATTTTTTCCCCAAAACGTTGCTCAAGTAAAATGTAACTGCAACGAGTTACTGCCCACTTTTTCTCACAGCCCCATCTTGAAAAAGATGCTATGACTCTCAGCTATTACCACAYAAACTTTACCTCACTCTGTAGAGTTGAATAAGTTACAGTCATATTTGTGTCTACAATGATCGACAAGGTGTTGCAGCCATCWTGAAATGGATTTACTCTGAAAGTTAATGAGCTATACATGACTATCTCAGAAAAAGTAATTAAGTGTTTCATAAGGTATAACAGAAGAAACATATATACATTCACACACATAAATTACCCCCKTTCCAATAAAAATAACTTTAAGACAAAACAAAAAACAAAAACGATCAGTGAATGACCTAATGTACGTGTTAAAGCATCAAAAGGAGAGGCGATAGTTTCCTGTCCCCGCCTGGCCCAGCCCTCCTCTATCATCCAGATGCAAGAGGTGATTTGGACCTGGAAGCGTCCCCGTTTGCCATCCATCTGGTCTCTGCTGCTGGGAATAGATGGAGCGGGGGGCAGTGTTGTGCCAAACCCCCAGGCTGGCACTGCTCTGTGCAGAACCTAATGCTAGCATTATTGTTTTCTAAGGGGGGTGGGGGTCCGTGGACAGCTGGGTAGGTTTCCTGGGGTGGGGACTGGGGGTGACTATGAAGGATAATTATGGAAAGATGAAAGGGGGTTGCCTAGCATGGATGTTTTTGCTCTTGGTAAGGTCTCGAGTGATGTTTGGAGAAAGGAAGGGAGGAACTGTCTGAACGAAAACAAACACGAGGAACAACTTCTCACACAACCAAACGGTGATACGACTCAGGTTTGAACAGTTTATGAAGATGCACAGCCGTCAAGAGCTGCTTAAGTTCTAAAGCAACAAAAATATCTTTAAAATCTTCACGTCAAACTAGAAAACCACCTGGGATTAAAGCTCATCCTATCCTGGATTCATCTAACCTCATTCCCTGACGACAAACTAAAGTCTCCAATAAAGAAATAATTTTAAAAAAAAAATTCAACAGCATATCTCCTGTTTGTTCAGTCCTTGGAAAAAAGAAAAAGAAAGGGAATGCCAACCCACAGTACTGTCTTCACAAAATACCTTTCTTCTTGTACCCGCTTTTATTACGAGTTTTATTTTCTGGGTAAAACGAAAATGCCATCAACTCAAAAAATGGCGTCTCACTGGGCTGCGAATGTTGGAGACCAATCGCAGACTAAAAATTGCAAGAAAATTGTGAGAAAATGGACAATTTTTTCTTTTGTGTTCACACCGAATCCTGAGTATTTGTGGCCGATTAACCGGTAAGCTGTGTGGCTGCTTTAAAAAAAAAAAACACAGCCTAGTTAGAACCCAGCAAGAAGTTTACCTCCCAGGTCCTGCCGGACTCGTCTCCTCCTGCGTTTTTCTTTACAGTCTTTTCAACCAACTCCTGCTGTTCCTCTGCTTCTGCTTATTTCCTTCTGGTGCTCCGCATCTGTTGCTCGTTCCACTGATTACAGCCGGAGGAGTCTCCGTGCAGACCTGATCCTGACAGACCTGATCCTGACAGGACTCCTGGATGATCTGATCACAAGAGGACAGCTGTTAGTTGAAGTGTCCACACCTGGCAGTGAAATTAGTCCTGACTGTTCGATTCTTCAAAYGGGCATCAGCAGCTCAACTCATATTACTGTGAAGTCAGAAAAAAAAACATTCAGCCGCCTAAACTTTGAAGTTTTTTGCAAAATTATTCACAAAAAAAGCTGTTTCTTATATGACTTTTTAATATTACATATCAAGTTTGGCTCCCCTGAATGATCTATTTAAGAGGCAACACAAAAAGTTGAAGGATATTGAAGTTGTAACACTTGTTCTCAGTTAAACAATTATCTTCTCAGCCCGTCTTTAATTGGGATTGACATTTAAACGAAGTAGTTAATGTGTGCCAAGGACAGCGTGTGCCACGTTAACAATTACAATACTGCTTAATGGGGCATGCCAGAGCTATTCTGAGTGCATGTTGTGGGAGAACGAATAGGGCAAACTCTATTAGTCAGAAACCAGAGCAAATTCATGAAGTGGGACAAGGTCAGAACCACTCCTTCATTTCTAGGCTGGCTGCTCATCAACCAAACACTTCAAAGCTCTAAGTGGAATCATTAATATCAACACCAACCGGGGAGCGGGCTTTTAGCRTACACCAAGTGGCAGTCTGGGATATTCTGTCATTTATGTAACACCTCTTCTGGCATGTTGAGAGCCAAGTGCTGGCAGGTTTACATGCAACCTGAGAAGTGCCCTTAGAGGCCATGATTCGCCTTAAAGACTGGCTTCTTCCTCTTACTGATTTTACGGGGATCTTTTTTGATTCTATTCGAATGGCTAACTTAAGGAGATCACAGGATGGATAAGAACCGATGGGGAAAAAGGCATTGCTTTAGTAAAGTGTCTCAAAGGCGTATAAATGTCCACAAGGAAAAAAAGAGAGAGGGGGAGAGCCTGAAGCCACAGTGAGGAGGAGGAGGAGGAAGTTAAAAACAGAAATACAGAGCTCCAATGTGTACGTCCTTCCCCCACGATCCAGTTCTTGTGCCCTCATCCCAYTAAAGGCCCCAGTGTCTCCTATCTGGAGCCAGCTGGGGGAACAAGGCTGTCCTCTGTGCTTTTGGTGCCCAAGCATCTTTTCAGAGTATGTTTTGAGGGTTTAAATGTGTGTTCCTGAGCCACAAAAAAAGTTTACCATGAAGGAGGAGTGCCTTGATACAGCCCACAAAGTCAGCAAAGACTCCAGATCCAACAGAGGTAATAACTGGGCACTCTGTTCAGGGGCATGCTCTCATTCCACGTTTTTCATTGTGTTGCCAAGACAGTTTGGAACAAATTTGTCCAAGACCAGGACAAGCTGAAAGTCAAAAAATCAAACGCAATCATGTCTAATAAGCTTTTTTTTTGTCTATTTGCTTGGTAAAGGAGACATATCCTGCTTTTAAATGTTGTTTTTTCACATTTAGACCCTTCAGCTGGAGTCTATAAAGTTGAACTGCAACACTTTAGTCTTATTTCCTCCTTATTGTAACCCCACAAGCCCCTCTTTCACCTCTTTTCCGATGTGTGTCTCAGACCAACTCGTTTTGAGGCTTTCTCTTTAAATCCAAACAAAGCGCTTCATGCCCCGCCCCCCTCCAGCTTCCAGACCGGTCCACTCCAGCTTGACAGAGGGGTTTATGATGATATAGTGGCACAAAARCAATTAATTAAAACAACAACAGAAGACGGAGCCAGAGTCTGAGCCAGTCCAGAGGAGAATGAAAACCATGAAATTGTAGTTGCTATCTCCAGACTTTATTTAGAAATTCTGTTGCAAATAATGAYGTAATAATTCAGAAAATGTCATGGAAAATTGAGAAAACTAAACGGGTTGAAAAATATGACTCAAACAGAATATAAAGATATCTTTGCATCACCGGGAGAGACTAAAATTTACTGTTATGCACAACATAATGCTAATAACATGGGTTTTGAATGATAYGTCCCCTTTAATGTGATGAAAACTGCTGAGAATTGTTTTTTAATTCATGTTAACTAGCAGCGCACCGATTGCAGTTTTCTGGCTGATCAATGATCTTTAAAAATTCTGAATTGCCAATTTAGATTTTTTTTAAATAACAGACACTGTCAGTTTGTATAAGGTCACAATATACCTTCAACGTTTCAAACTCATTTCAGTGAAAAACATTGAACAATACACTTGAAACAATACAAACTTATTTTAATTGGACACAAGGCAGTGCTCACAGCAGASAAAAAGGGGACAGTGGCTGATTTTCAGACCTTTGTGGAGGTGGATAGGATCGGTSGACAAGTTCGGCTTTTCATGTAAGTATTGGCCGATCACTGATCRTCCAAAATTAAGGAAATCAGCACCAGTTTATCAGCTGGCTGATTTATCTGTGCACCAATAATGTAAATGGGTTTGGAAGGATGATATACGAGGAATGAGCTTGTGCAGAGGTCATAAATTACATTTAAAGAAAACATATTTGAGGACATTTAGTTAAACGATACTTTATGTTTTAGAGCAGTGTTTCCCAAAGTTGGGGTCGGGACCCAAAGTGGGGTCCCGAAACATCAAGGTGGGGGTCCTGAAAGGATTTTTGGAATTAATTACATTTTTGCCTTAGTTGTTAGAAAGGAGTGAGGTTAGTGTATTTAAAATGGATAAATGTAGTATAAAAATATTGTTACTATGCCCATGTTTAGTTGACCTGATACAAATGTTTATCATCCAAAATTAGCTGGGGGCACAGGTCTCTGCTACTGTTATTTTGTGGGTCAAAAGCTGAAAAGTTTGGGAACCACTGCACTTTGGTTCCCAAAGTTGGGCTTGGGACTCAATTATGGGTCATGAAGCACCTTGGATAATCTCCAGAAATCAATTTAAAGGGTAATAAAATAATTGCTGATRTAATATTTTCCCTATAACTATTACAAAAACACAAAATAAGTATAAATAAGTATTTATATTTGTGTACAARCTGTTTAGATTGTCAAAAAGCCTGTGTTTTTAGGGTTATTAACAAAGTTTGTGTACTCAGACCTCAGACCAGTAATATTTGGGGTCAAAGGTTTTTGCCATGTGTATTTTGTGGGTCAGAAAATAAAAAGTTTGGGAACCACTCTTTTAGAGAACCTTTTCAAATTATTTTCCACAACCCACCTCTTCCTCACTCTGCCCGGGATGCATCTTCCTCCTCCCTCTTCATCTTTTGTTAATCCCCCCCCCAGTCCCTGACAGCAGCTCCGGAGCGATTGTTAACCCAGCCCCCAGCAGCTCCCAAGTTGTCAACAGAAACGTTGCGGGAGCGGAACACCAAGACATGTCCCTTTCTCTCTGCACCGAGAGGGAAAAATGTATGGTTCAATTATAGGGTCTGTCAGGCCGGCACAGGTTGTGATGGCCTGAGCTGGGCTGGAGGTGGAGGTKGGGGGAGGCAAAGTCAAGCTGATAACGGATGGGGCACAAGTGGAGCTTTGTGTGCCTCGTTCAGTCTGCAAGAGGACACTCGTCCTGGCAATTCAACTTTCAACAAAAATAAAAACTGACTGGTCTTTTCCAGGTTTGCTCAAAATATGACAAGTGCTGTAGAATCAGCGAGTTGCCAATCAGGTAGGAATTGGAGGGAAACAGCGAATCAATGCAGTTGGCAGGACGGACTCCGGTTCAGTGAGTCGATATGTGCGTCAGCTGTGCTGCGGGGCTAAGAGGGATTTTAAACCGGAGGAAGTGGAGTTAATGTGTGATCTTGAAGAGCAGAAAGCTGGCCTTGTATCCCTCATCCACTCTCAGCCCACCAGTTTGACACAGATGATAAGAGGCCTCAAGCAGAGTGCAAACGCACATCACCCACACACACTCGTGCAACCGAAAAATGAAAAACACCTCAGCCATAAATGAGAAGATGGCGAGAGGAAGATACCGCTGGAAAAAAAGCACACAGATGACTCAAACTGAGCAGTGTGGAAGCACGGCACGGAAAAAATAAACAGTCTCGCTTTCCAGGAGATGCTTAGCCCACCTATCGTAAGAGGGGGCGGGGGGGATAATCTGACTTTTAATCAAAGACCGGGCCACCTCTGTTTGGTTTACTAAGCCAGTGCGAGGAGATGGCAAACACGGATAAAAAAGGGTGCAGCTGTGTGATACGAGCACTTGTGAGTCAGCGGCGACGTCACAAGCCTAACGCCAACACTGTCAGGCTCTCTGAGGTGACCTGAAGCACACCTGCCGATACCAGCCACCTCTTCTAACAGCCTACGTGTTTAATAAAAGAAACGTTGTGCCACGGGTCTGCTCCTCCAGACAGAAGAGCATYGATCAGACATCGTTACAGTCTGCTCAGTGACGAACTCAGACAGGGGTTGGTCTCTTTGTGAGTTCAGGAAGCTTTTCTGCTGCAGGATATAATGAAACTGAGAGCTGGTACCTGTTAGAAGCAAAGTATAAAACTATGGCATGGTATGAGGGCCAAAATYAAGACTATTGTGCAACCAGCAGTTGCTGCATCCTTGTAGCAGGAGGCTATAGCATTTCTAAACCAGTTATTGATCTGATTATTGGTAGGCCGGCACTGGTAACTGAGCAGTAACAGAGAGGCTGGCACTGGTAAACGAGAAGGAGACTATTCATTTGCGTTAGCCTTGGAGAGGCTAGCGACTAGCATGTATAAGCTGACATTAGCATTGGAGAGGCTAGCAACTAGCATGCCTAGGCTGCTCACCTACTTTATTAGACACAAACTTTTTAAAAAAAGAAAACTCTCTATAAACTAAACTTTCTCTAAAAAGGCCCAACGTGATAGTTTTGGCTTTTCCCATGATTCGGCTGAGAGAGAGAGAGAAAATAAAAAACAACACAACTGTCGATCAATAGACCTGCTTCACATTAACATGTTTTATGTTTAGTATTTATAATCGATGTCRTGTTGAACAGTGAATTCTAAGGAACAGCTGTCAGTGCATGTCGTTTATAGGTCTTGTATGTCGACCAGTTTTGTTGAGAAAGTTTTCTTTATTYAAAACGTTTT